CTTTTTTCTCGCTTTTGAAGTGGCAAATTCTTCAATCACGTCGTCATGTTGAATCGAATTTGCTACATCGCTTTCTATCGATATGATTGCCAGATGATTGAGCCTGTCTTGACCTATTGCATTTCTGAGATAAGTTTTAGTTAACTTTAGCTTTGAAAACGATCGCTCTCCCGTTAAAACAGAAACTGGGATCGTCAGCAGAATGCGAAGCGCAATAACAGCATTTGGAACTAAGTTTTCCATTTTTCGCTTCTGAATTGAATTCAGTATATCGATTGCGTGAATAATATTATCCTGATTAACCAAACTTGAAACCAATGAAAGTTCTACAAATAAATCGTCACCATCGATATCGGATTTTCCATCATGAGTTAAAGCAATTTCTAGTTTCTTGCATGATTTCTGCAAACTACCGTTGTTTCGGTTTGCTTCATAGTTTTCAAAATCATAAAGAAACGAGAATAATTCGCTGTGTTGCTTTAGTGCTTTGAAACGATCAGTGACTGAATCAGTTGCGGATTCAATGATTGGTAAGAAAACTTTTGTTTCAAATTCCTCTGCATTTGTAACAGTTGTTCTAGCCGCTCGACGTTTTTGATGATCAAATTCAACTTCAATCGAAATGCGTTCGCAAATTTCCGTTGCTTCATTGAGAACCTTTCCGTTTCGGTGTTTTTGCTTTTGCTGGAATCAAATGCTTTTTCAATACATCCCACCGATTTGTTGCAGCTGATAGAAATACATAAATCTTCTGGACTGTGGCAAAGTATTGTGTTCCAATTAAAGTAGAATCCGCAGCGTCATTAACAGTGAGATTTAATGAGTGATTACCACAAGGATTGAAAAATGCTCTCGGGTTCTGATTTAAGATTCTCCTTTGAACACCGACATTTTTGCCTTTCATTGGGGCACCATTATCAAAGCCCTGACCACGCATATCATTCAAATCCAACCCTAACACCTCTAATTCAGTGGTAGCTGCGCCAGTAATCAACAGACCAGTCTTAGTTAGTCTTAGTTTTTTCTACATAGAGTTCAATAGCTCCGTATGAAAAAAAAACTGGGTTTCGTTTTGTTTAGCATTTTTTTTCGGACGCTG